TCTTTATTTGAAAAATTAATTTTTGTAAGTTTACTCCCATGATTTAATAATTATGTGTTTAAAATTTATTTCTATATATTCTACAGTTTCGAATATTATTAAATTCATATAGAAAGCTTGAAAAAATTACTCAGGAAGCTTTAAAAAAAATATACATACATACATATTTATGTACTTAAAATTTTTGCGAATTTTTCCAAACTATTATAAGAATATTTTTTTGGAAATTTTCTTTAAACTTTTATATAACATTTATCTGTTATATATTAAAAAAAAATAAAACACAAAATTTAAACAAAATAAAAAAAAAATTTTAAAATAATGCAAAAAAATAAAAATACGACGACATCCAGGCAAGCATTGATCCAATAACCTTCTGGCTATGAGACTACCACGCTAACCACTAGGCTACGCAGTACCTTGAATTTCGCTTAATAATTCTATATTTTATTCATATTTCGTATAACTCATCAAAAACCATTATATTTTACATTATATATATATAGCTACTTCTCAGGTGGTAAAAAGTACGGGTACTTCTAGAAGGGCTAGAGACATGGGACAAAAGGCATTAGATAGAGTTTTGCCTCTAGGGTACCAGAAAAATCTGACATTGGAACTTTTTAGCCCCCAAATAGCTCTATTTTAAGATTTTCTGAAAAAATTTTTGTATAACAAAAGCACGTTTTTCTTTTATAATTTTTATAATAAGAAACACAAACCAAGAAATAAATGATACGTTTTACGTTATTTTTATTATTAGAAACACAAACCGAGAAATAAATAATATTTGAAAATATAATGATCTCACATATTTTTGTTGCGGATAAACGAATTAATCTTAACATAAATAAATGTCAGCTTTTATCAGACATCAGATGTTTTGTGATATCTGAATATTAATATTTCATTTGTTATTGTTTTGAACATTACGTTTCGTCAGCAAGCTTTAAAAAAATATATGTACATACAGAATATATGTATGTACGTATGTAGTTAGAATTTTATTTTTATTGTTCCAAACGGAAAACTGTAAAATGCTAAATTTTAATACATTTATATATACATACATATATTTGAATAAAATTATTATTTTGTTTTTGCCTAAACCTTTTCTTTATTTAAAAATATTACATTCATATGTACATATATATATTTGAATACAATTATTAATTTATTTTAACCTAAACCTTTTCTTTATTTGAGAAATTTATTTCAATATGTTCACCCGCAGTTTTAAAAAAACTAGGTATACATTCATAATAACGCGTGTTTGTGTTAATAATTTTATTTCTAATTTTTCCAACAGCAAAATTTCAAAATTTTCGATTCTAATACATTCATATGTACATACGTTCATATGTTGGAACGAAAAATTTTAAAATCTTCAATTCTAATCCATTCATATATATATACACACATATATTCATATATTCATACATACATATATTTTTACATACATAAATTATTATTTTGTTTTTGACTAAACCTTTTCTTTATTTGAAAAATTAATTTTTGTAAGTTTACTCCCATGATTTAATAATTATGTGTTTAAAATTTATTTCTATATATTCTACAGTTTCGAATATTATTAAATTCATATAGAAAGCTTGAAAAAATTAGTCAGGAAGCTTTAAAAAAAATATACATACATACATATTTATGTACTTAAAATTTTTGCGAATTTTTCCAAACTATTATAAGAATATTTTTTTTTATTAAATTTTCTTTAAACTTTTATATAACATTTATCTGTTATATAATAAAAAAAAATAAAACACAAAATTTAAACAAAATAAAAAAAAAATTTTAAAATAATGCAAAAAATAAAAAATACGACGACATCCAGGCAAGCATTGATCCAATAACCTTCTGGCTATGAGACTACCACGCTAACCACTAGGCTACGCAGTACCTTGAATTTCCCTTTATAATTCTATATTTTATTCATATTTCGTATAACTCATCAAAAACCATTATATTTTACATTATATATATATAGCTACTTCTCAGGTGGTAAAAAGTACGGGTACTTCTAGAAGGGCTAGAGACATGGGACAAAAGACATTAGATAGAGTTTTGCCTCTAGGGTACCAGAAATCTCTGACATTGGAACTTTTTAGCCCTGAAATAGCTCTATTTTAAGATTTTCTGAAAAAATTTTTGTATAACAAAAGCACGTATTCATGACTCTGGTAAGATTCCTGTAGTCCATTTCGGAATTTACAATAAGCTTAAATTGACTTTTAGAATCAGGAACATCCGCTTTCTCAGCGTTGGTCGTCACCTGAACCACTTCCGGAGATGATTCCGCTTTTCTTTTTTTACTGGATCTCTTTTGTTTTAGGATCCAATCCGTTTCCTCCTCATCTGTTGAGTAGGCGTCCAAGACTGACCTCACCTGCTTTGCTCGTAGTGCAGCGTCTTTTTCTTTATGACTGCCCACATTAGACTTATTGTTTGTAATTTGCGTATGTTTCTCTTTCTTTAGCTTCTCATTTTCAGCCCTGAGTTGAAGAACCTCGCTTTTCAAAGCCACACAGAGCTGTTCCAGTTGGCTAATCCTTTTTTGTATGTCAGCATTTTGATTATCACTTTCTTTGTCTTGAGCTTTACTCATGTTTATGTCCTTATTGGTAGTCCACCTTCTATATTCCTATTCTTTTCTAAAATCCGCACATCAGATGTAGGTGATGAACGCCGGGTTTTCGCGTTCCTCCTAAACGGATCAATCAAATGCAATAAATGGCTCTCTCCAGAATCCGTAGAGCCGACCTCCGAAGGGGGGTGGATTCTCCAACGTAGTTGAATTACCACTTGGGGTACTAAATCCTTTTGTTTTGTCCATTGCGCAAATGATTAAATTCTGCATTTTATACCTACTGCTAGGATTCAAAAACTGCCGTCCTTCAGGGATCAGACGCAGACCAGTGAGCCGCCTATTCTAGGTCAGACGCTTTTGGATTTACCGCCCGCGCGCTTCCTAACCAACGATACCCGGATTAACCGCCGAGTACTCGCTTTCACCCGCTCTCGTCAGGCATTACTAAGTAAGTCGCCCTGGAGACACACAGCAGATAACTATGTTACCTACCTTCTGGGAGGTGAGAGTCGGATTTGTTGGCAGAGCTGATGTTTTCAGAAGGCATTTCCTAGCATTTTCAGTGTCACATGTTAGGAAAATGTGAGACTGACTAGGACCAATGCAAACTTTTGTCCCCCGTAAGTACATATGAATGTAATTTTTCAAATAAAAAAAGGTTTAGACAAAAACAAAATAATAATTTTATTCAAATATATGTATGTACATATGAATACGTACATACATATATTATATTCTGCATGTATATTTTTTAAAGCTTGGTGGCGAAATATAATATTGAAAACAACAAAAAATGAAGCATTATTATTCAGATGCCACAAAACATCTGATCTCTTTGACAATAGCTGACATTTATTTACGTCGTTATTTTAAAATTATTTCGATTTTCCGAACCAAAAATATGTGAGATCATTATATTTTCAAATATTATTTATTTCTCGGTTTGTGTTTCTAATAATAACGTAAAACGTATCATTTATTTCTTGGTTTGTGTTTCTAATTATAAAAAGTATAAAAAAAGCGTGCTTTTGTTATACAAAAATTTTTTCAGAAAATCTTTAGAGCTATTTCGAGGCTAAAAACTTCCAATGTCAGATTTTTCTGACACCTTAGAGGTAAAACTCTATGTAATGCCTTTTGTCCCATATCTCTAGCCCTTCTAGGGGTACCAGTACTTTTTGACACCTGAGAAGTAGCTATAAACATATATAATGTAAAATAGGATAGTTTTTGAAGAGTTATACGAAATATGAATAAAATATAGAATTATAAAGGGAAATTCAAGGTACTGCGTAGCCTAGTGGGTAGCGTGGTAGTCTGATAGCCAGAAGGTTATTGGATCAATGCTTGCCTGGGATGTTGTTGTATTTTTCTTTTTTTGGATTATTTTGAAAATTTTTTTTTCTTATTATTTAAATTTTTTGTTTAATTTTTTTTTTAATATATAACATGTTCCGTCGTGACGTCACAGGCACAGATCATTTCCTAAAAGAAAAAAAACAACAACAACAAAGAATACAAAGTGCACAACAATAACATGATTGTAGTTATCTGATGAATTCAATATGCATCCAACTGCGCAAGTTTTCATTTCAACCTAAAATTGAAGCTAATTAAAGCATATAACAAGCATATGTATATTTGATCAAACATAAAAGAAACTTCAACTTACCTGTTGAATATGTTGCAGGTTTGCAATCGCTTTAGTCCTGGTTATTTTGGTCCAGTGCAGTCAGTCCTTCTTTCGTGGTTGATCTCGTGTTTATTTATATTAATTTTGTAATATTTGTGGAACTATTGTTCCATAATTTTTTTTCCTAATTTTTAAAACAAAATAAATCAACAAAAACTCTACACCACATTTTACTTGTTTATCTTTTATACATCAAATATTGACATTTGCAGACAAAAAAAAGATTCGTTCAATAGCTTTCGTTCAGTTTGATCGGTGTTGCCGCATGGTATAATCGATCAAAAATAAATCATATCAGCTATTTGTCAAGTGTGGTGGAGTGAAATAAAAAAGAACGAGCGAATGAAATGAAAAATATGAAAAGGGGAAATATTGTATATACATAATATAGAGTGTTTACAACAACAAATCACGGCGCAGTGTATATAAAATTGCGTTTATTTTTCAAGTTCAGTGAACTGCGTCATCTGTTTTATATACAAGAAAACGTTATCAACCAAAAAAGTGGGACTGGCTAGGTATATCAACGTTGCACAACTCGTTTGGATAAAATTTTTCTGGATCTATAAATAGAATGGAAAATTCCAGACCAAGAATGCAGTATTAGAAAAACCGTCGCATCGAACTTATCCATTTTGAATTTATATTGAAATTATAATATACTTATTTTATATAAAGTCATATTAAAAGAAAATTAAATTTTGTTAATAAATTTAATAAATTGTTAGAACATGAATTACAAAAAAGAAACAAAAGTGAAGTTGTTTTTCTTATAATTATTCTATATAAAAAAAGGAAAAAATAATAATTGCGTTGAAAAGAGGCAATAATAAAATTTTAGTGGTTTTGGTGGTTTTTGCATAAAATGTTAGCCCAAATCGCCGCCTAACATTTTTTGGTCCTTCGAGACGAATTATATTGAAAATTCGTGGCATTAAAAAAAAAAATGAAAAGAAACACAAAAAATTTGGATTTAAGACAAAAAACTAGAATAAAAATAGTGTAGTGTGCAAAAAAGAAAACTTAAATTAAAGAACAGATTTAGTGAAACAACCTAAACAACACATAACAAATTGCAAACTATTGGTGCGAAATTAGAAAAGTGTTTGAAATATTGAAGAGACTAGTGGTGGAATTTCTTTGTGGTGCAAAAAAAAAGAAATAATGAAAAAAAAAAAACTATAATATATTTAGTGTAGAACAAAAAGAAAACTTTGAACAATTTTATTTTGTAGTGCAGAGGTGAAAAGCGGTTTCGGTATCGGTCTCGCGAGTCGCGCCAATTGGAATCAAGCATTGGACTTAGAAAGGAGGAAGAGAGAAATTATGGTGAGTTCGTTCCATTTTTTCTATTATTTTCTTTTTAAATTGCATACAAAGTAATTGGAGATTTTGAATATAAGGATTTCTTTCTTTATGAAAATATTTTACATAAATGGTTTAAATTTTTTTGAAACAAATTTTACTGGTGGATTTGACTAGATCTTTCTAAAATAATTTTGGCGGTTTAAATAGAGAGCTTAGAAAAGAAAAAAGGAACAATTTTTCGGGATAAAATTTTTATTTTTTTTTGGACATAGTGAAGCATTATCAATAAGTTTTAGTGAAAAAAAAAGGAGAGAAAAATATATATTAAAATTTTTTTTATGAACACTTGCGTGGTACTTTGCAAATAAAACTTTGTGATTCAGATTGAATTAAATTAATATTTAAAGGAACTATTTGACACTAGTTGTAATTAATTAATAAAATAGTTGTAATTTCAATAAAACTAGACAAAAAATATATATATATAGTTGAAAATAAAGATATTATTTTGAGTGTTTAAATTGTTTAATTGATTTGTTTTTGATCTAGTTGATACGGAAGTGATCTGGGTATATGGAACCTTATAAATAAATATATTAAATACATAGGGATTAACATGGACAAGTTAATTAAGTTGCAATTGGCGGATAAATTCCTGATAGAGGAGATAGTAACTCATTTTTCTAGGGATAAAAGAGAAAACAAACCAATGGGATGTTTTGAGGAAGTTTTGAACGACATAGAGACCCTTTATTATGAGATAAAGAAGCGTCATCGACAGATTTTGGTGGCCTCTTATACAGATAGGAATGAAGAGAGCGCAAAGTGCCCGTACCTCGAGCACAGCGTGTTTAATGAAATAAAGACGCTCTTCCAAACTAGGCATAAGTCCATAGATGCTGAAATGGTTGACAGGTTTCCTAATAAGGAGGCGGACTTGAAAGTGGATCCGAACCATGGCATAAGCATGAGAAAAGAGGTTTCAAGTATGGCGATAAACCTGCCAAAGATAACGCTAGCAAAATTTGATGGTGGTTACCAGAAATGGCCTTCCTTTTACGACCTTTTTAGGTCCCTGGTCCACAATAATGAAACTCTTACGGCAGTACAAAAGTTACAGTATCTAAAGTTGCATCTTACTGGGGAGCCCGAACAATTACTAAGAGCTTTTCAGGTAACAGAGGACAACTACATGGCTGCATTCAACATGCTAAAGGAGCGTTACGACAACAAGCGGGTGCTAGTCAACACGCTATTGAAACGGCTTCTTGGCCAAGCGATCGTGCACCAGGAATAAGCCGTTGCAGTAAGGAGGCTTTTGGACACAACAAATGAATGCTTACAAGCTCTCACAAATCTACAAATTGATGTGGAAGGCTGGGATCCAATTACAGTTTACCTAATAGTCCAGAAGCTACCAATGGAAACGCGTCAGCTTTGGGAACAAAGCATCAGCGTCGAAAAGCAGCAACCAAGTTGGCGACAGCTTGAAAATTTTTTAGAAACAAGGTTCCGCACATTGGAGGCCATAGCAGTTAGAAAATTATTTGCAGGTTCAAGAAGTCAAGTACAGAACGACTCAAACCGGAATAGGGGCAGCACTTTATTTCATGTTGCTACATCTAGGTCAACGAATAATGGTGCTTCATGTCTGTTTTGTAGAGCCGCACATACGATAAGAAAGTGTAAAGCCTTTTCAAGATTGGGTCAAAATAAGCGATTGGAGGCAGTAAAAACTAGGGGGCTTTGCATAAATTGTTTGAAGCCTGGACACATGATGACCACTTGCCCAAGCCAGCAGAGCTGCTACAGGTGTCATAAACGTCACCATACATTACTACACCGAAAGGATGAAGGAGAGCGAACCTCATCACAAGTTACAACTACACCACAAGTACATGCGCACCACGCCGCACATACTTCACAGCAAGCAGCAGCGGTGGCGCCAGAGTTGTCCGCTTTGGCAGCAGTCTTTGTACCCGGCAGTCATCCCGTCCACACATGCGGCACGGCTGTCAATTCCAGACAACAGGTCTTCCTAGCTACAGCATATATCAGAGTTCTTTCACCTACTACGGGCCGATATCAAAGAGCTAGGGCGCTGATTGATCCCGGCTCACAAAGTTCCTTTATAACAGAGTCACTGGTGCAAGGCTTAAGTTTAAAGAAGGAGAGGATAGTCGCTGACATACACGGTGTATCACAAACAAATATTGGCCAATCATTGGCTAGGGTCAGAGTAATAATTGAAAGTGCAAGTGGCTCTACAATAGTACAGGTGTCCGGTTTAGTGCTTAAAAAATTGACGAACTTGTTACCAGTGCGAGACATCTTCGTGCAAGAGTGGCCACACCTGAATGGATTAACTTTAGCCGACCCCGAATACTTCAAGATGGGAAAAATACACGTACTCATCGGTGCTGACGTTTTTGGCCAAATAATATTGGACGGTTTAAGGAAGGGTCCGTTTGGCGCACCGATTGCCCAGAATACGATTTTCGGCTGGATCCTGTTCGGAACTGTAAAGCTACAAGATGTTCCAACAATAATGATAATCAACTTCCACATGCAGTCGGATTTAAATGAAACTCTGAAGAGGTTCTGGGAACTTGAAGAAATACTAGAAAATAAAATGATGACTGAAGAGGAGCTAGCATGCGAGAAACATTTTTGCAGTACACATTGAAGGGCTGCAGATGGACGATACCAGGTGGAGCTACCATTCATTGAAGAAGACTCAATTGAGATTGGAAAATTTCAATTTTGGTATGGAAAAACAGTTTTGCAAAAATCGACAACTCCAAGAGGATTATATCAAGTGTATTAATGAGTATAGCAACATGAATCATATGCAAAAGGTGGAACCAATCGAGTTGAGAAATGAAAATCAAAAGGTCATTTCCAATTATTTACCGCATCACGATGTCATCAAGGAGAGTAGCTCCACCACAAAATTAAGAGTTGTTTTCGATGCGTCGCGACCCACATCCAACGGCTCATCCTTGAATGACAAGATGATGAAGGGCCCAGTCATCCAAGACGACTTAGCCACTCTTTTGCTCCGAGTTCGAAAATATAAAGTTGCCTTTACAGCCGATCTCGAAAAAATGTATAGACAAATCAAACTTGCACCTAAACACACCGATTATCAGCGAATAGTTTGGCAAGAATCACCTAGACAACCTATTTGTGATTATAAATTAACTACCGTGACTTTTGGCACTAAATCCGCACCCTTTTTAGCTACGCGAGTGTTAAAGCAGCTGGCTACAGATGAAAGGATCAGATATCCTTTGGCATCGCAGGCAACATTAGAGTCCTTTTATGTTGACGATTTGCTATCTGGCGCAGATTCACTTGAAGAAGCACTACAACTTCAGAAACAACTCATCAACATGATGGCTTCGGGTGGATTTTCATTACGTAAGTGGTCATCAAATGCCTTTGCAATGGGACCCAGCCAACGACTACTTCTCGTATAGAATTACCAAATTGGAGGATGGAGCTTCGAAATGGACAAAGCGATCAGTTCTATCAGAAGTGTCTAAATTGTTCGATCCGCTTGGTTGGCTGGCACCCTGTATCATTTTGGCCATGATAATGATACAGAAATTATGGCTGTCTCGTTCGGGCTGGGACGATGATTTGGAAAAGGCACTACAAAATGAATGGCAAAACTACAGATCCAGTCTTACAGAATTAGAAAAGATCAAGATTACTAGATAGTTCAGTTACACCTAGACGGTATGTAAAATGGAACTACATGGTTTTTGCGATGCGTCAATTAAAGCGTATGCGGCAGTTGTCTATTTGGTAGTCACAAACGAAAGCGGTAACAGGCAAATTAGTCTGGTGGCGGCAAAGTCAAAAGCAGCTCCAATAAAGACGATTTCTTTACCAAGACTAGAGCTGAGGTTGTCCACATTTACGAAATTAATACGAGTAACTAGCTATGTGAGAAGATTTATGACTATTGTTAAGAAAATTAAGCATGATGGCAGTTTTATAACAGCAACAGAATTCAATGCAAATGTATTTACATGGATACGCATTGTTCAAGGGCATCATTTTGCGCATGAAATATTTCAGCTTCAAAAACGAAAAGTTATAAATGGAAATAGTAGTCTGTCAAACCTAAGCCCTTTTTTAGACGAAAATGGAATATTGCGCATGGCAGGTCGATTACGTCACTCAGAATTAAACTACAATGAAAGATTTCCTATTATTCTTCCCGATAAAAGTCCCTTTGTGCGACTATTGTTGGAAAAGGTTCATCGCGAAACTTTACATGGTGGCGCCCAACTTATGCTGAATGTTTTAAATAGGAACTATTAGATTATTGGCGCAAGAAACCAAATTCGGCAAGTGATACACAAGTGTATAACGTGCTACAAACAGCGCGCGGCAGTTCAAACCCAATTATTGGGTGACTTGCCAGCTTTTCGAGTCAGGGCTGCACGACCATTCACACATACTGGAGTTGACTACTGCGGGCCCTTTGAAATCAAGACCCACAAAGGTAAAAATCTTAGGATGTACAAGGCATACATTGCAATTTTTATATGCCTCACAGTAAGGGCCATACATATAGAACTGGTGACGGATCTTAGTAGTTAAGGCTTCATCGCGGCTTACAGACGATTTAGCAGCAGACGTGGCAAATGTCAAGCTATCTACTGTGACAACGGCACTAATTTTGTTGGGGCCAATAAAGCAATTGCTAAACAACACAAAGAAATGCTACAGCAATTAAAAGAAGAGTTGGCGCACTCGCACGAAAATGAAGGTGTGGCATTCCATTTTATACCACCGGGCTCACCTCATTTCGGCGGTTTGTGGGAGGCTGGAGTACGATCTACCAAGCAACATTTAAGGAGAGTATTCAGCAATATTAAGTTAACTTATGAAGAATTGGCAACTGTTCTAGCACAAATTGAGGCGTGTCTAAACTCTAGGCCTTTATGCGAAATCAGCAGAAATCCAGAAGATTATACGGCTCTAACACCTGGGCATTTTTTGATTGGCGACGTAATTGTCACGCCACCTGAACCTTCAATCTTAGATTTTGCTGAAAATCGGCTGAACAGATGGCAACTGCTTCAAAAGCTGTGTCAAACCTTTTGGACCCAACAGATTACAACAACATCCAAAATGGACTAAAAGGCATGACAACATGCAATTGGGAGACTTGGTCCTCCTAAAAGATGAAAATTTACCACCAAGCAGATGGCTGATGGGTCGCATCATCGAGACTCACCCCGGTCCAGATGGACTAGTTCGAGTAGTTACCATCAAGACGAAGAATGGGGCACTAAAACGTTCAATAGTGAAGATTTGCTTACTACCAATACATTCAAGGGCGAACGAAACCGAAACATCGCATTGATCAATCGAGAATGATTAATCGTACGCAAAAAAAAAAAATTCGCGAACGTAAACTATGCACCTACACTTAATTGAAATTATGTACCTACGCTATATCGAAATTATACACCTACACTATATCAGAATTATGTACCTACACTATGTCAGAATTATACACCTACACTTTATCAGAATTATGCACCTACACTATATCAAATTTGCGGGCCTACACTTAATACTAGGAGAACACCTAATACAAAATTTGCGAACCTACACTTAATATTAGGAGAACACCTAATACAAAATTTGCGAACCTACACTTAATACTAGGAGAACACCTAATACAAAATTTTGCGAATCTACACTTAATACTAGAAGATGCACCTAATACAATATTTTCGAATCTACACTTAAATATATCTAATAATATTTAATTTTAATGAATAATGTTTTTTGATTTGATCAAAAATTTCCAATTATTAATTTATTTTTTTTTTCCTCTCCTTCCCCAATTCCACATCCTGGATTTCCGGAAAGCGAGCTCAGGCGCTATAACCTTCCATCCTTTTACGTTCTCTATTTACAGATGTTAGAACCTAAAAACCTAAAAGGATGCTACCTTAGAATATGGAAATTATGTTTAAAGCATTTTCGATTGGAAATGATACACTTACCGATTACCATTACAACATGAATTACTTTAGAAAAACATCAACACATCGTTTTGTCATCTTCAGCCACAGATGCCAAGGTCGGGGAAATGTTCCGTCGTGACGTCACAGGCACAGATCATTTCCTAAAAGAAAAAAAACAACAACAATAAAGAATACAAAGTTCACAACAATAACATGATTGTACTTATCTGATGAATTCAATATAAAATTGAAGCTAACTAAAGCATATAACAAACATATATTTGATCAAACATAAAAGAAACTTCAACTTACCTGTTGAATATGTTGCAGGTTTTCAATCGCTTTAGTCCTGGGTATTTTGGTCCAGCGCAGTCAGTCCTTCTTTCGTGGTTGATCTCGTGTTTATTTATATTAATTTTGTAATATTTGTGAAATTTTTGTCCCATAATTTTTTTTCCTAATTTTTAAAACAAAATAAATCAACAAAAACACTACACCACATTTTACTTGTTTATCTTTTATACATCAAATATTGACATTTGCAGACAAAAAAAAGATTCGTTCAATAGCTTTCGTTCAGTTTGATCGGTGTTGCCGTATGGCATAATCGATGAAAAATAAATCATATCAGCTATTTGTCAAGTGTGGTGGAGTGAAATAAAAAAGAACGAGCGAATGAAATGAAAAATATGAAAAGGGGAAATATTGTATATACATAATATAGAGTGTTTACAACAACAAATCACGGCGCAGTGTATATAAAATTATATTGTATTTTTCAAGTGAAGTGAACTGCGTCATCTGTTTTATATACAAGAAAACGTTATCAACCAAAAAAGTGGGACTGGCTAGGTGTATCAACGTTGCACAATCCGTTTGGATAAAATTTTTCTGGATCTATAAATAGAATGGAAAATTCCAGATCAAGAATGCAGTATTAGAAAAACCGTCGCATCGAACTTATCCATTTTGAATTTATATTGAAATTATAATTTACTTAGTTTATATAAAGTCATATTAAAAGAAAATTAAATTTTGTTAAGAAATTTAATAAATTGTTAGTACATGAATTGCAAAGAAGAAACAAAAGTGAAGTTGTTTTTCTTATAATTATTCTATATAAAAAAAGGAAAAAATTGCGTTGAAAAGAGGCAATTATAAAATTTTAGTGGTTTTGGTGGTTCTTGCATAAAATGTTAGCGCAAATCGCCGCCTAACATAACAGATAAATATTATTATAAAAGTTTAAAGAAAATTTCCAAAAAAATATTGTTATAATAGTTAAGTACATAAATATGTATGTAAATTTTTTTTAAAACTTCGTAACTAATTTTAAGCTTTCTTTATGAATTGAATAATATTCAAAACTGTGGTTTGTCATATAGAAACACATAATTATTAAATCATAAATTTTTCAAATAAAGAAAAGGTTTAGGCATAAATAAAATAATATTTTTATTCAAATATGTGTATGTACATGAATATATTAGAATTGAACATTTTAAAATTTTTTGCTCGAAAAATTAGATGTAAAATTTTAAGCACAAACATACGTAACTATGAATGTATACCTATTTCCTAAAACTGCGGGTGAACATAAAGAAATCAACTTTTCAAATAAAGAAAAGGTTTAGGCAAAAATAAAATAATAATTTTATTCAAATATATGTATGTACATATGAATGTAATTTTTCAAATATAGAAAAAGTTTAGACAAAAACAACATAATAATTTTATTCAAATATATGTATGTAAGTACATATGAATGTAATTTTTAAAATAAAGAAAAGGTTTAGCCAAAAACAAAATAATAGTTTTATTCAAATATATGTGTGTACATATGAATGTAATTTTTCAAATATAGAAAAAGTTTAGACAAAAACAACATAATAATTTTATTCAAATATATGTATGTAAGTACATATGAATGTAATTTTTAAAATAAAGAAAAGGTTTAGCCAAAAACAAAATAATAGTTTTATTCAAATATATGTGTGTACATATGAATGTAATTTTTCAAAAAAAGAAAAGGTTTAGGCAAAAACAAAATAATAATTTGATTCAAATATATGTATGTACATATGAATGTATTAAAATTTAGCATTTTACAGTTTTTGGCTTGAAACAATAAAAATAAAATTCTAACTACATTTGTACACATAAACCAAAACCAAAAATATGTGAGATCATTATATTTTCAAATATTATTATTTTCTCGGTTTGTGCTTCTAATAATAGCGTAAAACGTATCATATATTTCTTGTTACCGACCGTATTGTGTAAACAATAGGTAGGTTATGTGATGGCAACAAATTTTGCATATCGAGTTTTCGGTGGGAACGTACTTCTCCATAGTAGGGAAGTGTAAATAAACTATTTTTAGCAACCTGTCGGTCTGTCGGTCTATCGGTCTGTGTGTGCACGCGTGTATCTCAAGTTTGGCTGAACCGATTTTGATGAAACTTTATATGTAAGTTTGTTTCCACCATGGCACGGATCGATCAACTTTTGGTATATATCAGGCCTCGGGAACTGCACTTTCTAGCGGGCCTGTTTTACATTTTTGAACATTTTGAAGAAAATATTCAACCGATTTACTTGAAATTTTATATATAAGCTCAGCTCGACCGTCCGCAAAAGTTCGTATGTTTTGGAAGAAATCAGGCATCGGCAACTAGACGTTTACTACGGGCCAAATATACATTTTTGTGTATATAAAGAGAAATAATCAACCGATTTCATTGAAATTTAATATATGAACTCCTCGTATTAAAACAATGAACGTATAAATTTTTTGGAAAATCAGGGCTCGAAAACGGATTTTACATTTTTCACCATATCCACAGAACAAATTGATGGAATTTCTTGAAATTTGATATTTGAGTTCTGGTTGTTACCGAAACTAACTGAAGAGCATTTCAGGGAATTCGGGTAGCACAAAAGGAAACTGTACTAAGAGCCAAATTTACATTTTTCTAGATATGTTAACTATAAGCTTACTGATGTCCTAAAAATTGGAAAGAAGTATTTAACAGACATTTTTATAATATTCTGTAACACTTTCATTTAACTAGACAAGACACAATGCGGTCGGTTATGTGCTGACCACATCAGATTTGTTTGTGTTTCTAATTATAAAAGCACATATGAATGTAATTTTTCAAATAAAGAAAAGGTTTAGGCAAAAACAATATAATAATTGTATTCAAATAAATGCATGTAGGTACATATAAATGTAATTTTTCAAAGAAAGAAAAGGTTTAGCCAATAACAAAATAATAATTTTATTCAATTATATGTATGTACATATGAATGTAATTTTTCAAATATAGAAAAGGTTTAGACAAAAACAACATAATAATTTTATTCAAATATATGTATGTAAGTACATATGAATGTAATTTTGCAAATAAAGAAAAGGTTTAGGCAAAAACAAAATAATTACTGTATTCAAATATATGTATGTAAATATCAATGTATTAAAATTTAACATTTTACAGCTTTTGGCTTGAAACAATAAAAATAAAATTCTAACTACATACGTACATATATTCTGTATGTATATTTTTTTAAAGCTTGCTGATGAAACATAATGTTCAAAACAATAACAAATGAAGCATTATTATTCAGATGCCACAAAACATCTGATGTCTGATAAAAGCTGACATTTATTTACGTTGAAATTAATTCGATTTTCCGAACCAAAAATATGTGAGATCATTATATTTTCAAATATTATTTATTTCTCGGTTTGCGTTTCTAATAATAACGTAAAACGTATCATTTATTTCTTGGTTTGTGTTTCTAATTATAAAATGTATAAAAGAAAAGCGTGCTTTTGTTATACAAAAATTTTTTTCAGAAAATCTTAAAATAGAGCTATTTCGGGACTAAAAAGTTTCAATGTCAGACTTTTCTGGTACCCTAGAGGCAAAACTCTATCTAATGTTTTTTGTCCCATGTCTGTAGCCCTTCTAGAAGTACCCGTACTTTTTAACACCTGAGAAGTAGCTATATACATATATATAATGTAAAATAGGATGGTTTTTGAAGAGTTATACGAAATATGAATAAAATATAGAATTATAAAGGGAAATTCAAGACACAGCGTAGCCTAGTGGGTAGCGTGGTAGTCTGATAGCCAGAAGCTTATTGGATCAATGCTTGCCTGGGATGTTGTTGTATTTTTCTTTTTTTGGATTATTTTGAAATTTTTTTTCTTATTATTTAAATTTTTTGTTTTTTTGTTTTTTAATATATAAAAGATAAATATTATTATAAAAGTTTAAAGAAAATTTCCAAAAAAATATTGTTATAATAGTTAAGTACATAAATATGTACGTAAATTTACGTGTACTGATTTCACCTCGTTAAGTTTTATATTCCACTTTCTAGTCCATTTTGAGATCTCATCACTGGCCCTTTGCAATTTTTGTGTAGATTCATTTTCATTTCGTCCTATTGCGATAACTGCTGTATCGTCGGCAAATGTAGCTGTTGTCACTCCTTCCGATTCAGGAATATCACACGTGTATAGCAAGCATAGTATCGGGCCCAATATACTCTCCTGTGGTACCCCCGACTTGATATCCCTAAGCGAAGAGTACTCCTCTTCCTGTTTAACTCGAAATACCCTATTAGTCAGGTAAGATTCGAGTAGGTCAACATACTGCCTTGGTAGTAATCGCCTAAGTTTTTTTATTAATCCACAATGCCAAACCTTATCGAAGGCCTGGGCTACGTCCAAAAATATAATAGAACATATTGTTTTTTCTTCCAGTGAATTTTCTATTAGGTCAGTTATTCTATGAATCTGATCTATGGTTGAGTGGTTGCGGCGAAAACCAAATTGATGATTCGGGATTAACCTTTTACTTTCAATTATAGGCTGGAGTCTTCTCAATAAAAGTTTCTCTACCAGTTTTGAAATCATAGGTAACAATGAGATTGGTCTATAAAAAGTCGCCTTGTCTATAGGTTTGCCAGGCTTGTGCAGCATGATTATCTCTGCAACTTTCCAAATTTCAGGCACGTAATTGAACCTTATACACGCATTTATTAGGCGCGTAAGCATCGTTATACCCCTTTTGGGTAATTCTTTCAGAATATCGGCCGTTATTAGGTCAAATCCTGGGGCCTTTTTAGGTTTAAGAGTCCTGATTTCTTCTATGACCTCTCTTTCCTTGACAATTGGAATAGTCACGCTATCCCCAACAAAAGCAGATTCCTCATTTTCATACACGCCATGTGGGCAGAATATATCGGCCAAATGATCCGCAAACGCATTTGCCTTCTCCTTGTCAGTTTTTGCCCACGTTCCATCTTTGTTTTTAATAGGAGCGAGATGTTTGATAGGTTGCTTCATTTTCTTTGTTGCCCTCCTCAGTGAGTAATTGGTTTTCTCACACGCCGTCAAATTTTGCACATAATCAGCAACCGAATCCTCTTTGTATTTTCTAATACAACGTTTTAGTTGCTGCGATTCATGATTATATCTGGTTTTATCAGCAGGATCACGCGTTTGCTGCCACC